AAATGTAATAAGAAGAATAGCCACCAGTTTGTCTAAAAGAATAAGAATACGCAGTAAGAAGATTATGATGATTTAGATATGTTGTTGTTGTTGTTGTTGTTCTTGTTGTTTCAGTTGTTCAATTTCATGTTTTCATGATTATTCTTTGTTTTTTGTTTTGTTTGTTTGTTTTGTTTGTTTTTTTTGTTGGTGTTGTTATTGTTGTTGTTGGTGGTGGTGGTGGTTCTTGTTGTTTGTTCTTGTTGTTTGTTGGTTTTATGTCTTTGTTCTTGTTGTTTATAAACTTTACTCTGACCCACATAAAGAATGATTGATGATAAGATAGTGTTAAACCGATAAGCCGCGCCAGGTGAAACATGTAACCTTGCATGCAGAACGTTTGGCTAACAAATTAGTCAGGTGAGCATATTGACAAGCAAACATTCCTCACAGTGAAACACGTGCTTATCGTGCAACATAATCTTTAACTCTGCCCGATAACATTTAACCTAAAAACATGATTTTTTCCTGTTTTCAATTAGTTTCGTTGATTCTTATTAAAAGAGGGCATATGATTATCTTATTGCGCAAGCCATTTCATTCCACATGCCAAACGTTTGAAATGGATCGTGTATGGTAGAGGGTGCTCGGAAAGTAAGGCAAATTAACGCTTATATGTGTGTGGCAAAACACGTACTTCAAAAAGGCGTTGTGGAAACAATAAACACTTCGCCCACTGACTTTATTGTTACAATGGGTCATGTTGTATTGTTGATGATTTGTGAATCATAGATATCAGTCATGACATTGTGGTACGACATGTTACAATTACAACCTCTTGAAAAATTACATAGCTATTGTATTACAACAACTGAAAACAGAAAAACATAATGATTAATAAAAATGACAAATCAAAACTATAATAATTATATGACATTATTTACGAATGTACATTTCAGAAATCATGGGTGGCGACCGGGCGGGGAAAATACGGGTTTACGTCAAGACATTCCGTACGTTGTTACGTACGTATATTGTCATTTACCCATCTGATAAAAATGATGTACTAATAGCTAAACAACCATCCTGGTACAACTAACTGGTGTATATTTCTGTATTTGTTCAAAAACTGTGACAATCAGACTGCTGTTCTGCTTGTTTTAAGAACACGTTCACTTCAACCCGTAACCTGCTTGTGGCAACTACAAACTCTACCACTGCAGACAAAGATCAGTCATCCAGTCATGGTCTGCACTGGTCGTTATCCAGTCAACCAACATAATGGGTTTGCGACCAGCATGGATCCAGACCAGCCTGCGAATCCGCGCAGTTTGATCAGGATATATGCTGTTCGCTATCAGTTTCTCTACTTTGAATAGGGTTTGTAAGCGAACAGCATGGATCGTGATCAGACTGCGCGGATGCGCAGGCTGGTCTGGATCCATGCTGGTCGCAAACCCATTATTTTGGTTTTGTCGTGGCGCGGCTCAAATGCTTTTGTCTAGATTGAAAGATGGACAAATCCAGTTAAAATATTTAGCGTTGTAAGTGTTAAACTGAAGTTTGATACAGTTTATAATTTGATAAAAAAAGTGTTAAATAAATTTTGAAATGAATTTTGTACCTGGTACACGCTCGGAACAGGACGGTTATCAGATGAGATATGTTATGTCTTAGTCATAGTTATGTCATAGTTTTTGAAGAAAGTGATCAAAATAACTCTCGTGAGAAATAAGATTTATTATGGCATCCATTAGGCCGTCATGGCAACAGAATGAAAATGGCGGCGGTTTGGAATGTTCATCAGTTTTTCCCCACATAATCTATTGGTGTTTAGACGCGTATACTAACTACTGTCTGCAGAACCATTCGTTACACTTCAAAGGGATTAATGTCGGGTTCAATTAAACTTTAATCTCGTGCGATTAAATGTATCAAAAAAACTTTTTTGAAAAATTATGTCATTTGTAAAACAATTTTACAGCTGCATGCAACCACTCACTGAAAATGTTTATAGGTCATTAAAATATACCAAAAATGTTTCAAAACATTTTGTTTCTCCTAGAAGAAATATCTAGAGCGAAAGTTTATTTTGATTTATATTATTAAAATTATATTATAATAGTATAACTAATGCGTATTTTGTATACATTTCATTTATATCAATGCACTTATCCTAAAAAGTACTTCTTCACTCCTCTGTCTAGCGTATCGAACTCTGATCTAAAGCTATCTGGTTGTGTTGTATATATAAGGTGAAATTTTTAATCAGTTCATAAGTATTCATGAAGTTTACTTTCCAAAACAAACTTTTAATTGAAAACACGTGACCCTGATAAATTTGTTTTATGGAGTTGTCCTCTTTATATTTAGAACTGACCATATTATGTGCTAACAACGCTAGGTTGAGCAGACTACAGACTAGCTGGTTCCCTTGGAAAATAAGGGGAAAAAACAACAACAAAAAACAATAATCTGTACTTTATATACATAGGAAATCTGTTCTCGAAATTGCAAGTATTCGACCATTTATCTCAAATTTTATCTGCAAAGTATTCCGAATGTCATTCGCCAAAGCACGTATTAATTCGCTACGCTATGTTAAAGGATGCGTTTATCACTTTAAGTCATATTTCTGAAAGGTCGACAACTAAGTCCGAAGAGAAAGAATAAATGAATACAAAAATGTTGAAAATCACCATCTTAATGTTGATAATAATCTATGTTAAGTAGATTTAAACCAGACTGTGAGAAAGAAATTAGTTTACTTAATTAACAAACATATGTTGTCTTTTTTGTTTCCCGCTCTTTACGAATGTGTCGTACATCTTCGTATTTCATAGTTGTCGAAACGAGGATTTCTAAACATTCAGAGTAGACAGTTCCCTTTCCGAAAATGCCCGAGGATCTACGAAGATATGTGAACAATGTCAGATAGACAGGTTTTCTGTAGAAAACTACCAATGTAACTACATGTTGTGGTTTATGGAATATATGGAGCGGAAGCTGTTTTTGAATCACTGATAAATTTTAAGGCATTTTTAAACTATGGAGCATTGTTTTTTTTTTAATAGGTGAACTCAATAGAACAACTAGAAAACTTTGAATACGAGTATAACAGAGTTACAAAATACTTAAGACAAATTTTTTAAAATCGAAATATCTACGACAAAGTCGCTTTAAATACACAAGTTAATTTTATTATAATATGCAGCAAGCGTAGAAAGAGAAATAAACTTTTTTCCCTGTCGTTATTTAGTAATGCTGTGCACATTTTATCTTCGATACAAATTAATCTTCTTTACTTTAAATTTGTATATAAAATATGTTAAATATATTTGAATCTTGGAAAAGCTGTACATGACTTTGTAAAACGTGTACAAAAATACAAATTAGAATTCATTTGAAGTTTATCGAGGCGGTTTAAATGTTCATTCTTGTACGTTTCAAGACGATATATCTTTCTTAAATGAAAATTAATCGACAAAACTCTTATCCTTATTTTGTTGTAAACAGTAAATATTCAATAATTTTTAGCGTCAATGTTGTACTTTTATTTATTTATTTATTTATTTATTTATTTATTTATTTATTTATTTATTTATTTATTTATTTATTTATTTATTTATTTATTTATTTATTTATTTATTTATTTATTTATTTGTTTATTTATTTATTTATATTTATTTATTTATTGTTTTGTAAAAAATCTCGATGAAATTTTGTATGGTAACAACTGTTAATGTACACACATTTTCGCGAATATATAGTATAATACAGTAACAATGGTCGCTTTTTAACAACCTTAGATAAAAACAAAAAGTGTACTTAAGCGATTTTTAAGTGTCGTTTTCATTTGAAAATAAGGAAAAGCTAGAAAAAAGTATTTCATTATAATTTACAGTCAGTATTTTCAGATACGGAAAAACAGTGTCAAAGTTAATCAATATATATTAAATATGTAACTCATCGTGTAATATTAAATAAATAACCCATCGTGTAATATTAAATAAATAACCCATCGTGTTATATTAAATAAATAACCCATCGTGTTATATTAAATAAATATCACATCGTGTTATATTAAATAAATATCACATCGTGTTATATTAAATAAATAATTCATCGTGTAATATAAAAATAAATATCTCATCATATGATATAAGGCATCGCATCATGTGATATAAAATATCTCATCAGGTAGAATGAGATATCAAACTCATCATGTATTGAGTAATGTAGAAACTTTTACCCATCTTGAAGTATAAAATATTTTGTATCTTTGTATATCTTATCAATAAATATTACATATATATCCTATGATGAAATATCAAATAGCTCATTAAGTAATATAAGATATCAATATCATCGTGTGATATATACTAACTATCTCATCAGTAAAAATAAAATATATATCTCATTAACTAAAAAAAATATATATCTCATCAATTAAAATAAAGTATATATCTTATGAAATATAACTAATATGAAATATATCATCAAGTTATATGAAATTTTTTATCATATATTATAAAATAAAAAGTGCGATGTGGTATTTAATATCTCTATGTTTAGCATTGAAAGTGATGTAAGGCAGCGCATCGTGTAATATAAAATGAAATGAAAATAAATAAATAAATAAATAAATAAATAAATAAATAAATAAATAAATAAATAAATAAATAATCTATACTTTAGAAGTTTAAATAAATCTATTTTATGTAAAATTATTTGTTCATATTTATTAGAAAGATGCATATTTTTTTGCTCAAAAGAGAAATATTTTCTATATAATTAATCGTTAGCTATGCTTTTATTCGTACAATTTTCACATAAAATATCAGACAGAAGGCCGGATACTTTTTGGGAATTCATTATGTTTATTAACAGCTGGCTTTGTCGAAGCTGAGTATTGTTGGAATAAAAGACAAATTAATATCTCCACATTTTTTACAAAAGATAAATACACTACAGAAAAACTATAAAATTAAAAAATTGTAAATTAAAAAATAAATGCCTACCTGCGCTTGACAAAACTTCTGAGACGCGCGAGACCAACACTAGGCAGACGACAAAAACCAAGCTTTCCATGTTCTTAATTCTTTCTTGGCTATAATTTATTGTAAGATTTTTTTCTCAATTTAAATTTTGTCCAACTCAGCGAAATGATTCCGACCCTGCAGACGACAGTTTAACCTATTTAATGAAAAATGCAAAAATAGTCTCCCGCTTTTATAGTCAAGCAATCGTATATACCCGTTAACAGCGACTAAACACCTTACATGAAATGTTAAGTAAAAATGTATGTTTAAATCTACTAGTAGAAAAACAGTCTGTTTTCTGAATTTTTCAATGTCTATATGATAATATTTGTTTTTGTTTTGAAACAAAATAATTTGAAATAAAAAAGGTATTTGCAATCTTGAAAGCCGACGTAAGCACAATTGACCTTTCAGATAACCCCACGACCTAGTCAGAGCTCCAATAAAAATCCAAGACTACGTAAAGAACGATTACAGCACTTAGTACATCCCTCCGAACTGTTAACTGTTAAGATATTGTTTAAAGTGACAGTTTAAACGTGAATTACAAATGAAGTGGTAAAGGCGAAATGTTATCACTGATCAAAATCTGGTTCCCCCCGAGTCCTGCGGCATATACTACTATGATCAAATGATCATCAATGGCTTCTGGTTACTTTTGCGCACCTTTTGATAAAACTTACATCTGTGCATTGTTTCTCGCTTTGTAATTTGCATTACCTAAATAGTAAATGAATGGTGCTGTAATGACGTAACGATTTTTTAAAGCCTTGGGGGATAACGATATTTCTAGTTTATGATAATAATACTTTAATTTCGCTAGCCCATTTTTACCAATATTTATGTTAAAATAGAGCAAAATAATAAATACGTCAGTCAGCATCATTTTGTTTTGGAAGAACCTCTGTTAACAAACAAACACATTGCTTTGTTGTTGTTGTTGTTGTTTTCTATTTCAGAAGGCCACATTGGAAATAATATATATATTATTAGTTATAAAGATTGTTGACAGGTTATATGGCCCTATATAAACGGCTATTTGTAAATATAACCCGAGCCGCCAGGCGAGGGTTATATTGCAAACAGCCGTTTATATACGGCCATATAACCTTTCAGCAATCTTTATAACGAAATTATAATACAGCAAACATCACTTTTTAGAGAAAAAAGTAAGATTTCTTTATGAATCGACAACAGCCGTGTATATAAAATTATATAAACGTCACGATTATCCAATGAAAAGCGACGTTACAAACGTGCAGTATTATAAGATTGCTTTTGTATGTTCTTAATGTGTAACCTTTTTTAAATAAAGATATTATTATTGTTATTATTATATGATATGTATATACTGATATGAATACCACTACATGTATGCAAAAGTGAATAAGATATTCGGATAATGGGCCAGCACATAAAATTTTATGAAATTACATAAAGCTGATAACTATGAGTCTCTATACACGGATGTTATTAATTGGATTTTAATTTAGAAGATGCACTTTATATAAGTACATATCTGATCAACTATATAGTCGTTACACACTTAGGAAATGCATAATGTTATATAAACTGTTACTACTTAGCATACCGTGTATATAAACCTTGTCTATATAGATCGATTTTATTCACATTTGATAGGGAGATAGTTTAACGAATATTAAAATACTGCACGGTTATATTATTAGCTTTAAAGATTCTAGACAGGTTATATGACCATATATAAACGTTTATATGCATATAGAACCCGAGCCGCAAGGAAACATAACGTAATTCATATATGCCATATCTGCTGTCAATTTATAATGATAAAAATGAATGAATGAATGAATGAATGTATAAATAAATGAATGAATGAACGGATGAATGAATGAATAAATGAATGAACGGATGAATGAATGAATGAATGAATGAATGAATGAATGAATGAATGAATGAATGAATGAATGAATGAATGAATGAATGAATGAATGAATGAATGAATGAATGAATGAATGAATGTTCTTTGTAAAATTATAAATTCGTTATAATGATTTTGATATGTAATATGGTCGTGTTAAAACAATTATTTGCAATATAAATCTCGCCTATACAAGTTTACAACCGTTTTGCATCGGATCATATAACCCCTCAAATAACTTTATATTTTACAGTTTAATGTAACATATTATATTATATATAACACAGTATCAAACTAGTCCGTTTCATATAAACAGTTTCGATGAAATAATATTTATATATAAGAATTATTTCAATCAATTAAAAACTATTTTGATTTAACTTATTAGCTTATTTACTTATTCAACTTATTTGATGTAACAAATATCAAAATTATTTTGATTTAATCAAATTATATGCTGCACGATGTAAAGTAATTCCAGTATTAATTACGGAAGCGTCCTGGTGTCATTTTAAAATGTTCTATAAAGGAGTAATAATAAAGTCCTACGTAGTAGTTACAAAGTCATACGTAGCAGTTATAAACTCCTAATTAGGTTTTTTTATTTTTTTACGTAGGAGTTATCCTTTTTATGTAACATTATAAATTGGCACCACGACGCTTCCGTAATAAAGTCATCATAGAGGTGGAACTTTAAACGCTTTGTCCGAGGTTATGACATTTGAATCGAGAAGTATGACATTTGAATCGAGAAGTATGACATTAGAATCGAGAAGTATGACATTAGAATCGAAAAATATGACATAAAGAGCAAATGCAATAATAAAATGCACACACGTAGATAACCGTCTACGATGTAGAATACATTGTTATTTATGCATACTTGTACTTCCAAGTTGGATTGGATAGATAGTAAAGGCGATAAGTGTGCATAAAGAAAACTTAAAAACAACTTGTCCCTCCTCCTTCCTTCCCACACCCACCTATAACCCTAGTCCCAAAACATAACAACAGTGTATAGGTAATATTGTATCAAATTAAGTTTAAAACAGATAAATATAAATGGCCCATGCACTAATACAAACATAAGCAGCACGCAATTTACACATAATAGATTCAACAGAAGAAAAAAAATTCCTTGGAGGGATCTTCATTATTTATTAATCATAACTAATCACTTATCATTTAATACTCAATGGCCGTTTGCTTTTAAGTACGAAATTTTTATATTATTTAAATGCTATGTTCTAAAAAGGAATGACAGATTATATTAAGTGTCACAATTTATAGTCGGTATTGTTTTAGAAATAATGTTTAGGGATGCTGATGCAGCAAAAGTTGTTATTTTTTGTTTTTCGGTTGGAATTTATGTCGTACCAACACAGTAAAAGTTACGTTGTGACTTTCCAGCTTTACTAGGGGAGGAAAACCTTAGATGCCATTCCATGCATAATTTCGGGCACAAACAGGCACGTAAGTAGAAACACTGACGTTCTTATTACCACCCTTTATTTACATGAAATGTAAATTCGGTAATAGCTTTACAAATAATGCTTTTTGAACTTACAATTTTGATAAATCTTCATTTGAGCATCATATTTATTATTTAAAACCAGAAAAATGGAGTTACAGGATCTTGAAAGGAGTTAAATGATAGAGGTGACTTTGCGGGAAATGTCGAAGTTGGGTCAGTGAACGATGTCTCCTTAGAAAGAAATGAAGCAAAGGATGATGTTGAAACTGCGGCATTTTTAGTTTATTTACCTGGTGTGTACGCTGGTGGAGCATTTTACAAGGGTTTTCAACTCGAATAATTGTTTGACTGAGTTTTACTTGAATAAAAAATGTGAATTTACCTGTTAATGATTTTTATGCTGCCAGCTACAAAGAAACTTGTCCGGACTAACAAAAATCATCGAACCGGAAAATGTCGAAGATATGCACAACTAGACCTTTGTTTTTATCATTCCTGTATAGTTAAGATAAAGTTACAGCAGTAGTTTCTGAATAGGCAGTGAGCTATAGTGACACATTGATGCTGGAATGTCGCCATATGAGCTTTTATAAAGTGTCGGTGTAACTTAAAGACGTGCTCTGGAAACGTCTTAGCTCTAGTATACATTTTGACTTAATTTCCTTATTACTTCTTAATTAATTCTTTATGAAAATATGACTGTTTTGTTTGTTTTATTCGGTTAAAGGGGGCACCAACACAACACAATTTAGATTATTCGACGAGTCTAAAAGCCCGACTGTTTCTATTCACCAAAGAAATGCATTTTCTATAGATTTGTGTTTCGTTATCGGTGATCTATATCAAAATAGCAAAATTAGGTGCATGACAAAGGAATGCCAAGTTTGCCGATAAAAAACATCTTATCCTTGATCTTTCCACTGAATTGGAATTTTAATAGTGTTTTTCGCCAATGCACGCGCTCAGATTTTGCAATCGACTTTTTATAATGTTTACATAAACGGCTGCCAGAAACCTTGAAAACGGTAAACTTTCATCGGCAAAATGTGCTTCTTAATAAATATTGAGGAAACAATATATCTATATATCTATATCGCAATCCACATGAAAAGCAGGCCAGTTAGTGAATGTATACTTTATATTAGGGTGGTTGGGCATTCCACGGGGTCTTGACGTCTTATTTGATGGTAATACGTCATGTAGAAATTTTTAACAATACCCAAACTTGGAATTTTCAACGAGGGTTAACCTGCAAAATAAAGTTTGGACACACTATGTGACGTGTGTATGCGTATTTAAATGCAGCCAACGACTGTAACTGGAATTATTTATAAGAAATAATTTCAATAAAGCAAGACATCATAGTGACACAAAAATTGGAGAAAAAATGATCACACGTCAAGAATGGTAACACTTCAGGAATGGCAATTATTCAAGAATGATATATTAAAGAAATATTGTGTGTTAAAAATGGCAACGCATCAAGAATAGTAGCACTTCAAGAATGATAATACGTCAAAAATCACTTCAACAATGGTAACATGTCAACAATGGTAATATAATGGAATTTTGTAATAGAACCGGTAATAAACAGTTTAGGTAAAATTACTGACATTTAGTGTCACCTGATCAGAGCAGGCTCGCAATTAATGTAACCACCATTATAAGCGTCGTTTTACTATTTTGGCTTCGATTATCACATTCTCCTTCATCCTATACATAGATTTGTGGATACGGTGGATATTTGCCGATACGGCTTAGAACATTAATTAAGGGATATGACGATCTAAATCCTTACTCTTGTAAGATGGGTAGATTGAAATTGCACAAATTTTGTATTCCTGAATAAGATATTACATAAAAGGATGGTCAATTGAATAAAAACGTTTACAGTGATAAGCTTAACGATATGTTTCAATACAAGATCATAGCAGTTGATTGTAAATAATGAAAAATGTCACACTGTGTTTTACCAGGCAGTTAACTCGTATACTAACTTGTTAGTTCACACGGATCCGATAGTTATCATGAGATGAAAGTATTGTAGTGTGTTGAAGATATTCATAAAGTTAAGGATCAGTTGCCTGCTTGTACATAAGGTATTGGATGGAAGAGTGCCTGAAGTCTTCATCGCCGTATTACCTCTACAGCGCCAGGTGACCAGAATCCTAAAGTGAACTCAATTCCTAGTTATTTATATGTCTCTATTCACTTCTTTTTACATTTCATTTAATGCTTTTATCTATTCTAT